CCATAGTCACTTTAAAAAAGAATGTTCTGGCAAATAGAAAAGCCTGTATGAGGACAACAGTGAGAATGCATCACTCCATGATAGGACACATGATTAATTTCCTTCCTTATGCATTTTGGTTTTTCATATGATAGTATTCAGTGATCAAATGTTACACTGATCATTATTTGTTAAAAGTCAATGATATGCAAATTAAAACCAAAAGAAAGCACAAAACATTTATTTGCCACTTCTATCTTACAATCCACTCAGAGAGAGAGTGGTAGTTTTACATGTCAACTTCTTAAGATGTATTTCTACATATCATAGTTTTAGTGAAACAAAAATAATTTCCATATGAAATTTTACTTAACTTTTGAGGAAAATTACTTTTCACCGTCATCATTAAATGTGCTGTGCTATGCTTAGCTGCTCAGTCGTGTATGACTCTTTGTGACCCCGTGAACTGTAGCCTGCCAGTCTCCTCTGTCCATGTGGGTTCTCCAGGCAAGAATACTGGAGTGGGTTGCCACGCTCTCTTCCAGGGGATCTTTCCAACCCAGGGATTGAACCCAGGTCTTCCGCATCACAGGTGGATTCTTCACCATCTGAGTTGCCAGGGAAGCCTTGTCATTAAATAGGAAAACAATATTCTGCTGAATGGAGTGTTCTGTAAATGACAGTTAAATCTTCCTGATTGGTGTTATTGAGTTCTTCTGTATCCTTGCTGATTTTCTGTTTGGAAGTTCTATCAAACTACTACTACTACAGTTCTATCAAACCGTTGCTATGGTTTGTCTATTTCTTCTTTCACTTTTATCAGTTTTTGTTTCTTACCTTTTGTAAGCTCTGTTATTCGGTGCATATTTAGGATAAGTTTTCTTGACTAATTAATCCTTTTTATTATTATATAATGGCTCAACAGTTAGAACTGGACATGGAACAACAAACTGGTTCCAAATAGGGAAAGGTGTATGTCAAGGCTGTATATTGTCACCCTACTTATTTAACTTATAGGCAGAGTACATCATGAGAAATGCTGGGCTGGAGGAAGCCCAAGCTGGAATCAAGATTGCCAGGAGAAATATCAATAACCTCAGATATACAGATGACACCACCCTTATGGCAGACAGTGAAGAAGAACTAAAGAGCCTCTTTATGAAAGTGAAAGAGGAGAGTGAAAAGTTGGTTTAAAACTCAGCATTCAGAAAACTAAGATCATGGCATCCGGTCCCATCACTTCATGACAAATAGTTGGGGAGACAGTAGAAACAGTGACAGACTTTATTTTGGGGGGTTCCAAAATTTCACTGCAGATGGTGACTGCAGCCATGAAATTAAAAGACACTCCTTGGAAGAAAAGTTATGACCGACCTAGACAGCATATTAGAAAGCAGAGACATTGCTTTGTCAACACAGGTCCGTCTAGCCAAAGCTATGGTTTTTTCAGTGGTCATGTATTGATGTGAGAGTTGGACTATAAAGAAAGCTAGCACTGAAGAATTGATGCTTTTGAACTGTGGTGTTGGAGAAGACTCTTGAGAGTCCTTTGGACTGTAAGGAGATCCAACCAGTGCATCCTAAAGGAGATCAGTCTTGGGTGTTCATTGGAAGAACTGATGCTAAGACCCTGATGCTGGGAAAGATTGAAGGCAGGAGGAGAAGGGGAGGACAGAGGATGAAATGGTTGGATGCATCACCGACTCAGTAAACATGAGTTTGAGTAAACTCTGGGAGTTGATGATGGAGAGGGAGGCCTGGTGTGCTGCAGTCCATGGGGTCACAGAGAATTGGACACGACTAAGCAACTGAACTAAACTGAATACCTTTCTCTGTCTCTGATAATTTTTTTTGTTCCAGAGTCATCTTTATCAGTTAGTAACACAGGCACTCTGCTTTCCCTTTTGAATGTTTGTGTGGTAGATTTATTGTATGTAATAGATACGTTCACTGCCTGTATTATTGTATATAACATACATACATATTCCCTTACTACCTACCTATCTCATTACATCTGAAGGCAATTTCTCTTATAGGCAGTATGTTTAATCCTCTCTGCCAGTCTCTGTCTTTAAATTGTATATTTAAGCCATTTACACTTAATGTAATCATTGGTATATGACAGCTTGTTGTTTGATTGCTACGTTGTGTCAACTCTGCAGCCCCATGGACTGTAGCATGCCTAGCTTCCATGTCCTTCCCTGTCTCATGGAGTTTGCTCAGATTAATGTCCATTGAATTGGTAATGCTATCTAACTATCTGAGAGCTTAGATCTGCCAATTTTTATTTTTCATTTCTTACTTGTTCTGTTTGTTTTTTGTTTCCCTGTTTCTTTTTCCTGCCTTTCTCAGGGTTAATTGAATGTCTTTGGGAGTTCCATTTTTATTTATCTTGTTTATATAATATAATCACTTATATCTTTTTTTATAATACGGTTGTTTTAAGTATTTCTCGTATACACCTTGAGAACCACAGATAGTGTTATAATTTTTACTTTAACCATCCAAAAATAATTTCGAAAACTCATGAGAAGAAAAGCCTACTGTGTTTGTTCATACTTTTTACTTTGTCCTTTCTTCCTTCATCAGAATGTACAATTCTTTTATTTTATTTATTTATTATTTCTATGTGGAGAGCTTTCCTTAGCCATTCATTTAGGGAAGGTCCTCTTGAGAAAAATTTTCATAGTTTTTTTCAACTGAGAATATCATCTTCTCTTCATTACTAAAGAATATTTTTGCTAGTTTTGGATTCTTGGTTGCCAGTCTTTTCTTTAAGCATTTGAAATACATTGTGACACTTTTTTCTCATGTTCATGGTTTATGATGCGAAATGTACTGTTACTCAAATTTTTTTCCTCTTATATGTAAGATGTCATTTTTTGTGTGCTGTTTTTAAGAATTTTTTCTTTGTCACTAGTTTTCAGAAATTTGACTAAAATTGTATTGTATTTATATGTTGTATTTATATGTTTGGTTTCACCTGCAAGAATTTCACTCAGCTTCTTTAATCTGTTGGTTTAAGCCTCTTGCCAACGTTGAGATTTTTTTAGCTATTATTTACTTAAGTACTTATTTGGTTCTCTTCTTTGGAACTCCACAGATTTGAATGTTGCATATTTTATTGTCGTCTCACAGGTCCCTGAGACTCTGTTCTTTTCTTTCTAGTCTGTTTTCTCTTTGCTATCTACATTGACTTGATTTCTACTGTTCTGTCTTTTTAGCTCTCTGATTTTGAGCTCATCCACTATGCTTTTTCTCTTGACTATTTTGTTTTTCAATTCTAACATCTCCACAGGATTCTTTATTTCTTGCCTCTCTCTGATGAGACTTCCTGTTTCTTCATTTGTTTCAAGCATGTTGGTATTTACTCACTGAAGCATTTTCATTGTGACTGCTCTGAAGTCATTGGCAGATAATCCTGGCAGCTTTGTCATCTCAGTACCTACATTAATTGACTTTTTTTTCCCATTGTTTGATGTTTGTTGGTTCTTGGTGTGACAGGTAAAACCTGAACATTTTCATATTATGCTTTATTTAAATGTTCTAATTGTTTCTCTGACAGTCTTTCAACAGGAGCAGGGGGCACTGCTGCCTCATTACTGGGTCTCCACCAGGCCTCCGTTGATACTGATATGGGTTATTTTCATTTCTGCTGGTTGTTGACTAGAGTACTCCTCCTCTCTGAGCCACCCCTGACACACCCTAAGCACAGAGGGGAGAGAGCCTCTCAGGCAGGAGGGTGGGAAGTTGGGTCTCTCCACATGGTCTTCACAGTGGGAGCCACTCGTTACTGTCCAGTAGGGATACATACACGTCCTGGTTGTCTTCTCTGACAACTCCCTTGAGGACGTTGGGGAGCCTTGTTACGGCCTTGCAAGGGCTAGAGTCTAGGTTCCCCCTGAGCCTTTGCTGATGTGGAGGGGACAGGCCAAGGTTGTTCTTGATTTGGCTGCAGTAGAGACATTACTGGGCCTCCCTGGTGGCTTAGAAGGTAAAGAATCCACCTGCAGTGTAGGTGACCTGGGTTCGATTCCTGGTTTGGGAAGATCCCCTGGAGGAGGGCATGGCAACCTGCTCCAGTATTCTTGCCTGAAGAATCCCTATGGGCAGAGGAGCTTGGAGGGCTGCAGTCCATGGGGTTGCAAAGAGTCGGACATGACTGAGTGACTAAAAACACACACAGAGACGTTATCATTTGCTGAGCTGCCCTCTTTCCTGTCCTTTTGGCAACAGAGAGCAGACTTTTGTCAGACCTTTTTTGTCTATGCGTGTTGGTATTTCCAGTTTGCCTGCTGCATCAGTTCCAAATCAGGAAAATCCAGGAACTTGTTTCGTGTCATTTCTTACATCCCTTGCTTGTCTGCTTTTTCTTATTTTTCAGTATTGTCTTATATTTGTTTTATGCACAATATCCAGGATTTTTGGTTTTACCCAGTGAGAAAAATAGGAAAAATTAATAATGCCTTTCTCCCCAGAAGTAGAAGTCTTGTTTGAGCTTTTAAATGATACACTTAATTTAAAAAATACATTCCACCCTTTCACCACAAATAACTCAGTTTTGGAGATCGTACTGAAGTTTAATCTACATGACTCAGCATTCTCCTCTGGGTTATGTAGAGTTGACAGTCCAGTATTCATTTTCATGGAGTAATGGCCAGTCAAATCAGAGATGTTATTGATGATAAGATTCATCAATGTTTCATTTAGTTTTCAGAATGAGAAAATTACTGTGAATAAATTAATATGCCATCCATACAGTAAGATGCATGCTGATTTTTCAAAGGTCAAAATATGGCAAGAGTGTGCTTCTTGGAACAGAATCAGTATGGTAGTTAGGTGGAAAGACGTGCAGAGTGAAGTGTAACAATGATGTATTAATGTTCAAACATATTTTATCTATTTACCCTGTTCAGTTTAACAAGTGGATGTTGGTCAACTTAGAAAAGCAAGCATTCCTTTTCTGAGAATGTTGACAAGACCCTTTAAACCCCAGTCTGGTGGATCTGTCTTTCTTGCAGAGATAAAGCTGCCTGCTTTGCTATTCAGAAGGGATTACAGGCATCACGTAGTGACATTAAGCTATTTAACCATAATGATATGGACGACCTGGAGCGACTACTAAAAGAACAAGAGATTGAAGATCAAAAGGTATGATTCTTTTGAAGAAAATTATACAGTTCTTTAGTGCTTTCTAACCAGCTAAATTATAAATGAAATGGTAATTTGTCATGAAAACTTGCCTGTGGATCACATTTGGGTATTAAATAAGGGTGTTCTTGCTTATTAAATGTACCTCAGGTTAGAAAGCCAAGTCTGATAGTAATTGCCTCATCATTGTCATCATTATATGTGGCAAATTTGGAAGAAGGGTATCTAGGCAGCTTTCTAAAAAGAGAAAAAGAAAAACTGCATGCACTTTTGGAGATGGAGGGATATATATTCTCAACTCTATGGAAATAACACCAGAATTCATTAGTGTGTTAACAGGATATACCTAGTGAATTTAAAATAGGCTTATTCATATCAGAATAAATCATGTATCAGTTCAATGGAAAAAACAGTCGCAGCGTATCTTGATTTATGAATTTATGTGAGACTCTTCTGACCCCAGCCTCATCCCAGAGCTCTGAGGGACTGCTTCCTATGGGAAGCAACTGCCTCCAGCATGGTTTCCTTCCCTCCTGTAGCCTGTTTATAGTTCTCAAGCACCTGCCTAGCTCCTTCAGGCAGGGAGGGAGTTGGGGGAGTGGAGCTTGCTCCTTGTCGTTCTGATAAAGGGAGAAATAGAGGAAATGTGTTCAAAGCATCACTGTTAGAATTAGCCTTTATTTGGCCCTGACAACAGGGATGGAAAAGGTAGTTCTGGTCTGTGGTTCTGCAGAAGGAACCACTGTATGTAGATGTACTAGTAACCCGATCACAAGATCCTTGGTCTGAAACACCACTTTCAAGTGGACTTTTCCACTGCAACTCATCCATTACTAGAGTAACTGATAAAGATGCTCATCACATTCTTAATTTTGTGTTAATTCCCATTTTTCTAGATACTTGTTTTATTTCTTTTGGATTCAGTTGTCTTTGTTTAGTTGATAGCCTAGGAGCAGCACTACATGATCATACACATTCTTGTGATGAATATGCGTAGACTCTGCTATGCTGTGATAGATGTGTTATAAGCTGTGTTTTATAATTACACAATTTAGAAAACTCTATAGATGTTAGGGAACATATTAAAGTTGAGACCATACCACCTATGAATTCTTTCTACAAATTGTAAAATGTTCCCGTTTATTCTGATTCAGTAATAGAATGCTACCATATTGAAGAACACCGCCATAGAAAGTATGACCAATGAACTGGTCTGCTCTAGAGTTATTTTGCCAAGTTAACATTGTACAAATTTGGAAGACAACATATTCAAGTTTTGTGTGTATGTATTTTATAAGATTTACAATCTGTGGAACTTTCAAAAAATGAATAACCAGGAAGTATCTTCAAATTTATTTCCATTTTATAGTTTTTACCTTTTTACTAGTTAATTTATACCATATTTTCCTGCCAAGAGTAAGCTTTCTAAATTACATTTTGATTTTTTAGAAATAAATCTTTTTAAATTTTATTTTCATATTTAAATTTTTATATATTTCCTACTTAGATGCTTGTTTTTACTTTGAAAGTGAGTTAAAGTATTGCAGTTTAGTCTGGATTTGGATCAAACTTTTTTTGTCAAAAATTTCCCAACTATTGGGGTTCATACGTTTTTTTCATTACTTTTCTTTTAGAGTTCTCTTATCCCATATTAATCCTTCTTTAAGGAAAAAAAAAGTAGATTAAAAACAGCAGTTCACAGAAATACAGACAACTAAGCAAATAAAAAACAGTCTGACCTCACTAACAATTAAAGAAATAAGGGTAAAAGTTTTTGCCTGTCCAGTTAGGGAAAACTTTTATGGTAGTAATCAGTGCCACATTGATGTGTGTGATGATACAAAGAGTTCTCCTATAGCTCTGATGAGAGTTTCAGTTGTTACAGCGTTTCTAGAGGATAAATGGGCGCATATATTCCAGGATTCTTAAATACCTGTATCCTCTGGAGTTCTATCTTTAGAAGGTAAGATAATCAGAAATGGTGTCAAAGATCAACCGATATTCACAATGTGAATTGGAAAAACCAAATGAGGGAAACAAAGTAAATCCAACACTGTGGGAATAATTAAGTATCTGTGGTGTATCTATAAGGTGAAATAGTAAATCTCCATTAAAATCATGGTTTAAATGATATTAAATAGTGTAAAAATGTTCACAAATAATATTTTTAAAACTCACATCCTAAAACTATTGCAGCAAAATCCTGACTTAAACAAGGTAAGTTAATCAGTGTGTGGTGTGATGAACTAATTTGTTAAATTCTTTTTTGTACTTTTCCATTTCCCAAGAATATTACAGGAATAAAATATTCCTTCATTGATTATTTTAAGATCATAAGAAAGATACTTCATTCTTAAAAGGCAAGGAGAAGCAGGATGCCCCCATGTCCTCACCTGTGACCTCCCAGGAGACCCACAGACTTCATATTTGAGTTAATGGCGGAGTGAAGATGACCCAAGAAAACTCAATGAATGATATAAACTTTTGCATACTTCAGTAGACACTTCTTTGAACATTACAGCTGTGGGTTCTACAATATACCTTAAAGAACAGCTCTGATATTTGAATTTCTAGTTGTTCATTAGAAGCTTGGAAGCAAGAAGCCTTTGAGTAGAAAGGTGATGGCAAACTCTGTCTATGAAATTTTTTCAGTGCTGCTGCTAAGTCGCTTCAGTCGAGTCTGACTCTATGTGACCCCATAGACGGCAGCCCACCAGGCTCCCCCATCCCTGGGATTCTCCAGGCAAGAACACTGGAGTGGGTTGCCATTTCCTTCAGTGCAGCATACCTGAAACATCAACAGATTCAGCAGTGGGAGTGGTTTATTAGTGACTTCATGTCAGTGGGGTGTGGAAAGGCATGTGTTATTTGAAAAAGTCCCTCCACTACACCACCTTTGAACATCACTGGATGAAGCCATAGTCAGTTTTACTTGACTCAATTTTGAGGAATAAGGAAGGTAAAGGTTTCATTTGTTTTTTGGTTGACAAGGAAGATCAAGGTTTGTCCATTTTTTAGCTTTTTATTATTAAAAGATCTGGCACATTTAGAGGAAATAGTATAGTGAAGCCCCCTGTGCCCTTCTCTCAGCTCTGTTTTCAAAATTCTGTCATTCTTGTGTCATCTGAACCTTCACCTGACTACCCACCCCATCTCTGAAGATGATGATGATTGTCATCATCATTACAGTTCTTCTTATTTTAGGTAAAATTTACAGACACTGAAATACATAAATCCTAGTCATCCAATTTTGACCAGTGGTTATACCCATGTAGCCCAGGTGTCCTGACCCCCCCATCGTGACATAAAACATCCACTTCTCCCCCAGAAGATTCCCTTGGGTTCCTTTCCAGTCATGCTGGGCTTGGAGGGTGGTATTTTTGTTTAATATTCTCAGATTCTAAACAGTCTGTATTTGTGGCTGAGGCCTCTTCATTGGCTATGTGACCTGAAAACATACCTGGGAGAAGAAAGCACTGTTTCTCATCTCATAGTAACAGGATCTCAAAAAAGCTTGAAATTAATTTAGTCAGTTTATTTATCTTGGTGAATAAATCTTGTAGGGTGAAAGTGCTAAAAAGCATCTAACAAATTTTTGTATTTGGAGTTACTAAAGTTTAAAATGTCCGTTTTTTTTCTTTTAAAGAATCCTCGAAAGGCTCGTGTAACTCGACGTTTCATTATAGTTGAAGGATTGTATATGAATACTGGAACTGTTTGCCCTCTTCCAGAATTGGTGAGCAGCTATGTTTATTAATTATTTGAGAATTCAGACTAGTTGGCAGTTATACCTTTTGTTTATGACCACTTTTAATGTATAATGTCTACACTGCTTTGCTTAATAGGTATTATAAGCACATTCTGATCATATTAGGGAAGTAGATTAACATAAATGCCAACCATGACCTTTAAAGAGTAATCATGACTGAGTTTTTTAAAATCAACTTTATTGAAGTGTAATGGATACATAATAAAATACACTTATTTCAAATGTATGATTTGATGTGTTCTGACAGGTGTACACTACTGTATCACCAGCACCGCAGTCATGATATAGAACATTTCTGTCACTCCAGAGGATCCCTCAGGATCACTTCTTAAAGGATTAAGATGTTGAGCCTCTTTTCTTGTGTCGGCTACTTGTTAGATCTTTGGAGAAATGTCTATAGAAGCCTTTTGCCGAGTTTTAAATTGGTTTGTCTTTTTTGTTAAGTTGTTTGTGTATTCTGGATACTAAACCCTTATCAGATAATGTGATTTGCAAATATTTTCTCTCATTCTGTAGATTGTCTTTCTGTTTCTTTGATGGTGGCCTATAATGCACAAAGGTCTTTAATTTTGGCATAGTCCAATTTATCTAACTTTCTGTTCTTACTTGTCTTTGTATATTCTGTGAGAGAGGGGTTCAACTTCATTCTTTTGGATGTGATTATCTGTTTGTCCCTCTACCATTTGTTGAAGAAACTATTATTTTCCCATTGAATGGTCTTGGCACCCTTGTTCAAAATCATCTGACTATAAATATATAGGTTCCTTTCTGGACTCTCAGTTCTGTTCCATTTGTCTATCTAGCCTTATGTGAGCACCATGCTTAATTTCTTAATCCATGTAGATTTGTGGTAAGCTTTGAAATCAAGACATGTGAGTTCTCCATTTTTGTTCTTTTTCAAGATTCTTTTGGTTATTTGGGGTACCTTGAGATTCCATTTAAATGTTAAAATCAGCTTTTCCATTTCTGTAAAAAAATGCCATTGAGATTTTTTTATAGGGGTTGTATTGAATATTTAGATTGCTCTGGGAAGTATTAAGATCTTAATGATAGTAAGTCTTTTCATTGATGAACAAGGAATGTGTTTCCATTTATTTTTATTTTCTTCAATTTCTTTCATTACTGTTTGTGGTTTTTATTGTAAGGTCTCATCTCTCTTTGGTTAAATGTATCCCTAAGTATTTTATTCTTTTTGATGCTGTTATTGATGGGATTATTTTCTTAATTTCCTTTTTGAATTGTTCATTGCTACTTACAGAAATACTACTGACTCTTGTGTATTGGTCTTGTACAGCTTTTGCTGAACTTATTTATTAGCTGAAATAATATTTTTGCAGATCTCATTCTCTTTTTAAGATTATGTCATCTGTGGACAGAGATAGTTTTATTTCTTCTTTTCAAATCTGGTTGTCTTCCTTTTCTTGCCTTAATGCTCTGGCTAGAACTTCCAGTACAGTGTTGACTCTAAGTGGCAGAAGTGTGTATCCTTGTCTCATTCCTAATCTTTAAGGGGAAGCTTTCAGGCCATCACCATTGAGTAGATTTTAGCTGTGGGTTTTCCATAAATGCCCTTAATCAAGTTGAGGAAGTTCCTCCTTTTTCTAATTTGTTGAGCGTTTTTCTCATACGGGATTTGGGTTTTGTCAGATGCTTTTTCTGCATCAGTTAAGTTAATCATGTAATTTTCCTTCAGTCTATTAGTATAGTATGTTACACTGATTTTCCTGTAGTAAACTACCATTGCATTTGACCATTAAAGTCTGAATCTCTGAGTCCATCAATTGAATAAGGATTTAAAATTAAGAGTTTCATATCTTATTTTTAAATTTTTCCCTATTTATTGAGGAAATCTAGATACATCCTAAATGTTAATAAAAGAGATGATTTCTTATTCTATCCTTCCTTTTGTGTCAAAGACTGATAGGATAATGTGGGAGAAAGAGTGGGCCACAGAATATTAGAACCATATATTACAGAAATATATTAACAAAGCAGTGTTCATGGGCAGATATACAGCCAATGGAAAAAATATAAAGTGTAGGAACAGTAAGTATTGAGTATGTAAAATTACAGGATACAAATTAGGGTTTGACAAAGGGATTCCTGTTTTGTTACACTTGTCTGTTTGTGTACCAGTACTATAATAATATTATTAAACATTTTCTAAAACATAGTTTTTAGAAACTATTTCATTTGATAATATCTCATATTAATGGATAGGACAGAGTCAGTGTTGAAAAAATGTAATTCTCCCCAAATTGGTTCATTCATTTTGGGATTACCTTCCCAACTTGATATTGATTAGCATGATTATGGTTAAAAAATAAATTATCAGAGACTCATGATATGAGAGTCTTATATATTTTTGTGCATTAATTCTATAGTCTCAGTGGGAAAAATCTTAGTAATTAACATTTGATTATTAAAAGTATGATTGTGGCACAAGGGAAGATTACTTGAGTCGTGGAAGGATTTATGACCCAACTTCTCATGTCACATATATAAAAATCTAGTGGTTGATAATCACTATATTTTAATTCAACTGTAAAACTGATCACATACATATTGTAAAGGGGTAAATCAATTAGACATCAGAAAGAGAAAAAAAAACTGTACACTTGTGCATTTCCCAATGTATACACCCAAAAATTTATGAAATAATTAGATGAACATATAGATAAATATGCATCTAAACCTTTGATGGGAAAGGACTTTCCTACAAGCCAGAAAGCAAAGGGGAAGAAAAAAAAAAGATTAAAAAACCATACTAATGAAAACTTTTTCTGCATTAAAAAAAATGAATCTAAATTGAAGCACAGTGCCTCTGAGGGAAGAATGTATACAACATTTCCCTAGAAGTTTTAATGCATAATTAGACCAATATTTGACAGATATATTACATGTCTGTACTTATAAGGTCTAAACAGTTCCTTTTTTAAAAATTGGCATTGTGCTGTCTGTATTATTTGAGTTAAATTGAATCATTTTAGAGCATCCAAATTTCGTTATTTTCATTATTCATGGCAGTTCTGATCTATGAAGCGTATGTGTGTGTTAGTCTATCAGTCATTTGCAACCTCGTGAACTGTAGCTAGCCGGGCTTCTCTGTCTGTGGAATACTCTAGGCAAGAATACTGGAGTGGGTTGCCATTGCCTTTTCCAGGGAATCTTCCCAACCCAGGAATCAAACCCGGGTCTCCTGTGTCACAGGCAGATTCTTTACTCTCTGAGCCACCAGGGAAGCCTGTGGGTGTGTTTACTTTGCTGCCAATACCGAGTTATCAAATACTAAACTTTTGCTCCTAGGACAAATACAAAGTTAGTTTTCTGCAGACCTCTCATCACAGTGTTTTCATCCATGGCTCAGTACATAACCTTGTTTTATATGTGTTTGTGTTAAAAGATACCTTATTTAATATATATTGTTGATCTATTCACATTGAACTCATGGCCAGTAGTACTATAACTGTGGCCTGAATGATGCTTATGTAAGACACATTTTTTTTTTCATAAGGCACATCATAGCCTTCTTGCACTTAGGAACACTAGATAAGACTTCAGCACTGTGCTAGGGGTCCATTTTAAATAAAATCACCAACAAAAAGCACAAAATGTGAAAAATGTGGTAGTAAACAGGACGTGAAGAGGACACTTATTCACCGTATGAGCTGAAGCAGTAGCCTGTTTGCTCGGCTGGAAAGTGTGTTCCAGGTGACTCACAGTTTTCACCACTCTGCAAGTGTGCCTTAAGTATTAATTTGGGGTCACAAGTTTTAGCGTGTTGGCAGTTTCACAAATATGAATCCACCAGTACTGAGGATCAACTGTATGTTTTTTTCCTTTCCTTTTTATTTTAGGTTTAATTTTGTTCTTACCCATATGTTCTGTGCACTGCTAATCATCAGTATTTTAAAGTTGTGTTTATTTACCACATAGGTTAAGTTAAAATATAAATATAAAGCAAGAATCTTTCTGGAGGAAAGCCTTTCATTTGGAGTCCTGGGAGAGCATGGCCGAGGAGTCACGGAACACTTTGGAATCAATGTAAGCTCTCCTTTTTTGGAACATTCCCTCACATAGTAACCATGCAGTTCCATCCTGCTGGGCAGGTTTCATGGATAGAAGACAGCTCTCCTCATCAGCGTGCACGTGCAACACTTTTTCACTGGGTCCATGGAGGACGGCTCAGCCACGCCAGAGGCCCCATCTTCCCTTGAAATCTGTGAACTCAGAGTGGCTAATCCCAGAATGGTGTTCTGTTTACAAGGTGGCATTTGATCAAAGCCTTCAGTATCTCTTCTCTAGAAACAGTTAAATTTACCTTCTTTTTTTCCTTAAAATCAATAAGAATTCCTCAAGTTGTCCTTAGAAAATATTTATTATAGCAGTGAAAATATGTCCTTTCTAATATTTAAAATTGTATATTCTGTGTAACATGTATGTATGGGGATGATTTTTATATGTACAATATCAGAAACACTACCAACATGGGATTCACAGAAAAGCCCCACAAGGTCCCAGACAACTGGAGTATGTCATGTTTTTCTTTTGCTGAAGGAAAAATAAGCTTCAGTTAGCCCCACCCTTGGTGGTATGAGCACCTAGATCTTCAGGAAGGAGAAGCAGCGTGGGTCCATCTGCACAACCTGTCACCACTCACCACTGCATAGCCTGCCCTTGCCCACCGCTGTGTAATCTGTCCTCGCTCACTGCGTGTCTTCACTCACCACTGCCATGGCCTGTCCTTGCCCTCCACTGTGTGGTCCAGTTAAAGAAGCTTTTCTCCAAATCTTGTATATAAAAATTTTCACAACTTGTGTTAAAAAGTTGAACTTATGAAACATAAAATCACCTTCAATTATATTTGCATCCCTCTACCTATACAGAACTAGAGAAAAATGTAAAGCAGAATGAATACCACAGAAAGTTGACTGAAGCATGTTCCTCAGAGACAGACTGACATTTGGCAACTAAATGCCCTAAAGAATTTAAGAAAAATGGAAATGTCATTCAAGTAAAATTTAGACCAGAGCAGCTTTTAAGACATGAAGGTTTTAAAGAAGATAAAAGCACCATCTAACTTCACTGTTGTGGTTTTCTGACTGCTTTTAGCATTTGTCACAGAGATACTGTTTATAAGAGTGTGAGTAAAAGGACAGCATGTATGGACTTTATTTGGATCCTGATTCATACAAATACTATGGAGAACAAGGTCTGTAAAACAGAGATACTTGAATCCTCAATGTTTGACATTAAGAAATTTTTTCTTTTTTTAATTTGATAATGTTTCTGAAAGAGTGCATATCTTTTAGAAAAGCTCACTGAAATATTTATGGATGAAAACAAGTCCGAAATTTGCTCCAAAGAAATGAAGAGGGCAGTAGGGGGCTCTTCATAGAACAGGTTTGTCCATAAGTTGATAATTATGGAATCTGGTGGTAATTCTGTATACTTTCATATATGTTTGAAATTTTTCATAAGGAAAGGATAAAGAAGAATAAGAGGGCGCAGGTTTCCTTGTTGGATCTGTGGAACACTTAGAATAGCACCATATGTGATCTGACCAGTTGTTAGGGCCACCAGTGAGTAGTTAGTTACTGAATGGCTGTCGTACACAGGATGGAACTTGGTGCTGGGGGCTGGAGCAGAACATGAGGACCCAAGGAGTGCTGAGCAGTTGAACAGGTGGTGGGTATTCAGGAGTCCACGGGGCACATTAGGTTTATCCATGCCCAAATTGGTTCATTTATTCAAAGAACCTGTTGTCTTCCTGTTTGAATACATTGATTTCGTTTTAGGAAAGGTGGAAAAGATGAATGTAGTACACATTTGCAAAAATGCTCAAAAGATTCCTTTTTGTTTCTGTCAAGTACCTTCTATGGAGAAGGCCAGCTGAGACCACTGTTTAGCAAGGAATGATTTTTTCTTGTGCCTCTTGAATACGTTTAGTATCAAACAGCTTTAGATTTCATCTTTTATCCTCTGAGTAAATTGTCAGTGCATGACAAAATGGCAGAAAAGCATATATAAAATGAGACACTTTTAGAGTTGGGTTGTGAAGCAACAGTCCTTTTAACAATTGATTTTGTATGACTTATCCTTTATTTTCACAGAGGTAGTTTGAATCCAGATGTTGACATCATCACTGCTGAAATTTTGTCTCTAAGCTTGAATTGGCCTTTTTTTTTTTTTCCTTTTCTTTAAATTGAGAAGTAACTCCCACTGTCCCTCTTTTCTGGCAGATTGATGATATTGATCTTATCAGTGCCAACATGGAGAATTCACTTGCTTCTATTGGGGGTTTCTGCTGTGGCAGGTCTTTTGTGATTGACCATCAGGTGGGTTCTTTTTAAAAACAAAGAGCAAAAACTGAAACTTACTGCTCCATTTGAATCAACCAAACATGTAACTGTTTTTACAAAATTTCATTCTTAGTTTATCGTACAGTTTTTATTTAGAGATAGATTTCTTAAAGAATCACTCAAAATATTTACATTTAGAAATTGTTTCCCTTTTTAAAAAAGGGTTTTGTTTTTGTTGCATGATAACGTCTACACATGCCTGCGTTGTACCACCTTAGCCGTTGTACACACTATTTGGTAGGTGGTACGGAGACTCAGTGCCTTTAGAGTTTTTAGCCTCTCTGTCTCCCCCACCCCCCACCAAATGTATGCTTTGTAACTTGTTTCTTTTCAGCGACTTTCTGGCCAGGGATACTGCTTTTCGGCTTCCTTACCTCCCCTGTTAGCTGCTGCTGCGATTGAGGCTCTCAACATCATGGAAGAGAATCCAGGTATAACTTTTAATCCCAGGAAATCAAAGATACCACAGGTTATGTTAGCCATGCTCCTGGTTTGCTTTTTTGAGAAATTGGTTGGAGGGAATTATTTCCTAGACAAAGCTTTGGCTCAGAATTAGATTATCTGGCAACCTGTGGGAAGAATGGTGGTGAAGAAGTTGTCCCTGCCCCAGGGTTTTGGTATAGAACGTCTCTCGTTTCTGGAGATAAAGCCAGAGCCACAGCAGAGCTGGCTCCTTTGGTGGGCAAAGATGTCGGAAACAGGAGGGTTACCTCTGAGCCAGTCACTGTTTAGTTTATTTACTTACTTATTTATTTATTTGAGAAATTTGCTGAAGTATGCTAATTTTTGATACATATAATTTTATAGCTATTGTCTGGCTTTCCCCTTCAGCCTTTGAACCATAGTTGGTACCAAAGTCCAACTGGTTTACCAACCACTAAAGCTTGCTTAATGGGCAGGTGACTCAATTTAAAATGTGATTCTAGGTTGTGATAACACCTCACTAAGGGATAAAGCACAAATGCAAGAGCAGGCCTAGGTTTTGTAAAGTTTAAATTTTCTAAATTTCTAAAGTTTCAGCGTTGATTTTTTAATTCAGAGAATCAGAAAAGTGAATGTTTCTCTGTGCATATTCATATACTTGCTTGTCAGATAGCCCACCACTCTCATCTCCTCAGATATTTCAGCTTGTGAAATTTCTTTAAAAGAAAGCAAAAGTATCAAGAAAGAGATCATAAACATTAACACAGTATCTGTGTTTTCCCAAATTCTTTAGGGTCCAGAAATCAGATTTGTACCCTTTTATTCTTAGCCAGATAATTTATAGAATCTTGGTAAGAAAAGAGCCATTGTTTTGTTGTTGAAAACCTCCCAGATTTTGCTGAAAGTGGGGTGAGAAGGTGCCATCTAGATGTGCCAGAGATGAAAGTTGGGGACCTTAAGAGAAGTTACTGGCTGTCTGTGTCATTAGTAGGCAGAAGGATTTGCAGCGATCGAAATTGATGAACTGTGGACTTCCTTGGTGTCCAGTGGTTAAGACTCTGTGCTGTCACTACAGGGGCATGATTTGGATCCCTGGTTGGGGAATTAATATCCTGCATGCCACACAGCATATCCAAAAGTAAAATTAATTAATTAAAATAAATTGATGAACTGGGTCTTTAAAAACATTTTTAGATTAGTAATAGCAAATTTTCCAAATGTACTACCAAATATATTTGTTTCATTCAGGTATTTTTGCTGTGTTGAAGGAAAAGTGCAAACGAATTCATAAAGCTTTACAAGGGTGAGTTTTATATCTTTTCAACCAACTCAAAGTTTATCTTCACCACATTCAAACAACTCATGAAAATTTTTGAATGTCACCTCTTTGGTTTTGAGTGCATTTAATAGGCTGGATCAGTTTGACTAAATTGCAACCAAGAAACCAAAAACACAGTTTATTCAAATTTCTCTTTGTGTGAATCCAGAACATCCATTTTGCCATTGTTTTAAAGAATCATAGCTTTGTTTTTCTAAAAATGATAACAAGCTCGTTAGTAAAATAATTACAGCAGTACAAAAGATAAAGATGAAAAATAACAAATAACAGAACAAATGACCCTCCAAAATAACTGATAAACATTGGAGAATCTCTGCACATCTGTAGGGATAGAAGGACATAATTAGATGATGGTGGGTTCATACTGTCCATGTTACTTTTTAGAAAATTACTGTTTTATTTTAAATTACTTAAACTAGTGAAAATGAAGTGAACCTTATGTGTATTCTGTTTGTTTATATTAACTATACAAGAGTAGTTCTTTAAAATTCCTTGAGAATTGAGGAGGGAAAAATTGAGGCTGGTGACATCCTCAGGCTCTTATAGAAAATTATCTCATCTTGCCTGTGGTATTTCTTTTTGCCTTTCCAAGGTGAAACCTGCCTTCTCAGTCATGGAAGTCCTATCCCAATTCCCAGATATGGAATCTAGAAGCTTTTCTAAAAGAAAAAGACAGTTGATAAATAAGCAGATCACAGATGTTCCAGATAATATAGGGGCAGAAATAATTAAAGTCTGGATCTGACTTTATGATCATAGCTAAAGTTCTTGCATGATTTATGGTAGAGAGATATTGTTATTGTTTCCAGTTACATTGGTTTATGAAATATTAATAAACCTGCTCAGTCCAGCACCTTGGAGTCACTGCCAGTTCATAAACACATGCCTCAGATGCCCTTTATTCTGTCTAGCAGTGTTGATATGTTTAAGTCCAATCCTCCATTTTTCCCAGCTCTTTCACACTTCTCTCTAAAATCCCTCACCCTCTGTCTCACTCCACCCACTTTTAGCTGACAGCCTTGTCTCATGCTTTCACTTGGGAACTCCTTCATTTTCCCTCACAAACTTGTACACGTGCCGGTATCCAAGCCAGTCTTCTCTCGTGTTATAGCCAGAGAAGTGTTCATCCATTCAGCATAGCTCTTCTTTCTTAAAACCGAGTGCCTTTGATTGTCTCCGCCCTTTTCTCTGCAGTCTCTCCCATTTCCTGAGTCATTTGATTAGCTCTGCCCCGTCTTGTCTTAAATTTTTCCTTCCCAGGACCCCACACTCTCTTCTGGCGACTAGCCCGTGGCTCTGCTCTCTTTGTGGTCAGCCTTTTTCCCACTGTTTAGTCTTCTCCACACCCTCACCTCTCATGCACACTTGGAGCTACTGAAACCCACCTCTGCTCCTGCACGTTACCCAGCATGTGCCTGTTACTAACAGGGATGACTGTATTTTTTGATGTTAAAACATCCTTGTATTCCTGAGTAAACCCCTACTTGATTATATTATATTTTTCTTCACTGTTAAAATTTTGAATTTTTACATCCATATTTGTGATTTAAATGGGCCTACAATCTTTGGTTCCAACAGCCTTACGTAACCTAGGAATCAGTGTTGTGGTAGCCTGAAGTGATCGGCAGTTTTTCTACTGTCTTGCATTATGGAGCTACTGTATAAGACCAGTCTTGATGATTTATTTCTTCAGAGTTGAGCAAGACTCTTCTGTCAGACTCTCTGGAGTTGGGGCCTTTGGTTTGGGCATGTAGTCTATGATTATCTTTCCTGTGTGTGTATTATTTTTTCCTTTTATTTTCTGTTTCTGTCATTTTTCCTTTTATGATATTTTCCCAGGATTTTTGCCCAGCACATTTTTTTAAGTTTGATTTTCTTTTCTTTGATTGATCTTTTTTTCCCTTATTTTTCTACCTTCCTTGTTTCATTGAATTTTTATTTTATTCTTTTTTTAGCTTTTTACATTTAGCTTATTGGTTTTATTATTTTCCAGTAAATATCTTAAAAATAAACATTTTCAAAGTCAGTATTTCCAACATTCAGTTCTAAGTAATTTTTTTAATCTCTTCTAATCAGAGATTTCCATCTGTCATCTCTGAGGCTGCATTTGGTAGAGAAAGTCAATGGTCTCTGCTAGTTTGAGTCCTTGCTGGAATCTTGAAGTCCTTAAATTCTGACAGATAGTTATTCATGCCCAGTGCTCTCCCCACAGTAAGCACATGATAGACTGTGTCTGAATTGTTGATTGTTCTGTCCCTGGGACTTAACATCAGTGTGTAGGATTTCCATTTGGTAAAAAAATATGGTAGATAATAAGGTCTCCAAAAAGATTTTTTAAGTATAATAGGCTCTGAAACACAAAGTCTAAGTTTCTAAACTCGAGTTATAACTCTGTCCATTGGTTTTAGTTAAAACTTTAATGCATCAGTATCCAGGCAGCCAGAAAGAGGGCATTTTGTTTCATTCCTCTCCCACCAGCTTGCTCCACCCAACATGTGAAATGAGCCCATTTGATCAAATAATAACCTTGATTGGGCTTTTAGGTGCCTTGTTGTTAACAAGGAAAATCCAGGCCATTTTATTCATAGGAGATGCTATTTGAAAAGTAATATTTTCAGTCTGTTTGAGAGTATATGACCTAAAATAATTGATACTTCTTTGTATAAGGTTTAACACATTCAAAATTCACCTAGGAAATGGGTTTTGAAAGTATATTGCTTAGTAATTAGTAAAACAACTGATCTATAAGGTTTCCCAGTATTCTAGAAGTCCTAGAATCTAAGGTTCCATTCAAATCTGCAGCCTGGTTTATTGAGAGATCCTAGCATGATGTATTACATGTAAAGAAAGTAGACATAAATCAATGATGTTCAAGGGTGGCTTGAAAGGCAGGTGATCTCAGCCTCCCCGCCTCAGGTGCTATTTGGCACAAGTAGTCGTTCAGGAAAAGGTGGTGAGTCCTGAAAACATTTGAGGAGTTGGGTATGCTGCCAGCTGCTTTTTGTGTTCATTTTAGTCTAAGGGCAAAGCACATCTTTCCAAGTAAAGCACATTAAATGAAAGCAATCTGAAATGTTTAGCCCAGTTTCAAATAGCGTGTATTATGGTTTCTGTCCCTTGAGATAGGTCAAAAATCATACCATTCCTGACTAAGTAATATGGCATGCAGTTCTCATAACATCTGTAATAATCATTTGAAAATAGACTTTCACCCCTAAAGAAATCTCTTTTTCTCCTTGAGAAAGAGCAGATTTCTGTGCTGTTAATCCTAAGAAAGAAGAAAATAATTGTAATTCAAGTAAAACATGCACACAAGAAGGCAGCTTTACAACCTGAACATTGCTGGTGGTCAAAATATAAAATTTCAATGTCAGAAGTCATTCCTGTAATTTATGAACTAAAGATATAGAAAATAAGAAAGCAACATTATCAATTATAATAAGTTGTCCATAAAAAAAAAAAACATAGAAAATGAAGGTGCTTTCCTAAAGTAGGTGATGAGGGAGGCCCTCAGGGAAGTGACAGTGGACCAGGACCAGGCCTGTCTGGCACTAGCAGTAGAACGGGGAAGAATCGATGAGGAGAGGAAGCTGCAAGACCAAGGCCCACGACCCGAGTGGGACCTGTGAGTGTCCCACTGAGGCGGGGGCGGTCCCAGCCAAGCTGGGTGAGGCATGTAGACCACCTGGTGGGAGGCTGGAGATGATGTACGTGTTCTCTGTGAAATGTGAACCCAGGGGGACCCTCCAGACAGGGAACCGTCTTCCCAATCGCGCTGCAGGGTGTCCTAGACTGGGAAGCACTGCCCGGAGCATGATTTTTACCTTGCTTTGTTGGATCTAGAATCCCATCATGTGATGTTTCCCATGAAAGTTCCAAGTTTCTGTTACATTCATTAATGCAGACTTCATAAGATTATTGACATGTGAGGAGCCTGAGCTTGAGGAGGACATGGCAACCCACTCCAGTACTCTTGCCTGGAGAATCCCCATGGACAGAGGAGCCTGGCGGGCAGAGGAGCCTGGTAGTATATCACCTGTTCATGTGGTCACAAAGAGTCGAACTTGGCTGAGCAACTCAGCACAAGCATAAGCACAACCTGAGCTTGGAAGGGGATTTATGCTTCTGTGTGTGTTTCCCTTTCAGCATTCCTGGACTAAAAGTAGTGGGGGAGTCTATTTCTCCAGCATTGCACCTGCAACTGGAAGAGACCACTGGGTGTCGAGAAAGAGATGTTAAACTGCTTCAGGAAATAGTAACTCAAGTGAGTATCCAGTCACTAGGTGAATACATACGTATTTGCGAATGAAAACAGACTCACTCTGCTTCCTTGTCCTGCTTGTCCTGACAGTTCCTTCCTGAGCCTCCTGCTCTGAGTCTGTGCTGCCAGGCGTCAGGGTAATAGTAATGTTTCTCCACACACACTTTGTGTCATGGGATGTGGGCCTTGTCCAGGGGCCAGAGTGTCCGTTCTGATCAGACTCACCTCTGTCCTATTCTCATTCGTGGGAACAGCTAGTCTTACTGCTACTTTGTTCCAGAGGGAGACTCAGAAGAGGGCACATGAATCAGTTAACTCCATACTCTACTTAACATAGCTTATCCTCATAACAAACAGAAAAAGTGAGCCTGTGGACAGTTCACAGATCCCTAAGTAGTATCTGTGGGCCCGACCGATACTGGCTGTCCATGGGAAATCATCTTGAGAGTCGAATGAGGAGAGAACAGGTGCTCTGGAGGAGGGAACAGAGTACTCTGTGAAAGCTGCATTTGTAAGAAGGAAGAGGCAATTCTTACAGTGTTTTTGCATCATCACAGCTTCCATCTTAAAAGCCTTTGTTCCTTTTTGCCTTTTCTTTTCCGTATTTGAAAGAGAAAAGAGAATTATGACACCGTAGCCCTTTTTTAAGCTTTGTAGAACTGAGAGGAGGTTCTGCCAAGTTTTTGTTGAGTTGTTTGACAAAACACTGTTTTTTACAAACTGAGCTATGGTTTATAATGTTTCTTAACTAGCCAGGAAGCAGAGCTGGTCCAGATGTTTGCAGAAGGAGTTAACTCTTCCAAGTACACTTCCTGAATGTAGAGTTAGCAAACGTCACTGCCTACCGTTGTTTTCCATCTTGTCCTCGCAGAGGAAAACCTGCCTTCACAGCTTATAGAGTGGCTCCTCTTCAGGCTGATAGCTGCCACAGGCTGGCTGTGATTGTTCTCTCCTTTATAGCACCTCTTGCTCTGATTGGGTTTTGTTGTTGTTGTTTAAATGCAATTCACCTGTAAAAGTCACCCTTTAAAATATCCTGTTGAATGGTTTTTAGTATCTTCACAGGGTTGTGCAGGAAACAGTATCTGATTCCAAAACATTTCATCACCCCAAAGAGAAACTGTTATAAATCATTACCCTTGTCTGACTTTATGCTTTCCTTATTTTGATAGCATTAGTTAATTTTTTTAAATTGTTGACAGATAGCTAATGTATGGGAAAACTGTCCAAAGAATGTGTGCTACCAGACTTTTCTGTGCCTGGTAGCACCGTGCCCAAGTGTAGCACATGGGAATCAAAGGTGTTGCTAGCATTTGAAAGTGTTAGTTGCTCAGGTGTGTCCGACTCTTTGCCACCCTGTGGACTGTGACCCACCAGGCTCTTCTGTCCATGGTATTCTCCAAGCAAGAATACTGGAGTGGGTTGCCATTTCCCTGTGAGCAATTTCTTTCTGAAGTGATTCTGCTGGTGTTATTAAATCCAGCTCTTGGTTAGCCTATAGGGCTTTGCTGGTCCTGTTTCCCCGTGTCCTAACTCTGCTTTCCCTAAAACGGTAATCCCTAGTTACCTATGGCTGTTTGAATTAAGTCATACTCAGAGCTGAGTGCCACACTTGCACTAGCGTGTCTCACAGTGGCCAAAAGGCACGTGCCTGGCTGGCCGTGAACGTGCAGATAAACACCTCCCTCATCGCAGGAAGCTCTGTAAGACGGTGTTCCTCAGGATGACTTTGTAGTTATTTTGTCTTCTGGTAGTTATAATTGGAAAAATGAATGAAAACTTCTATTGAGGGTGGCATTCCAGTGTACCTTCCTGTTTTAATGACCAGTGTCTGCAGTCTGGGCTTTCCAGGTGGTGTTAGTGGTAAAGAACCCACTTGTCACCGCAGGAGGCAAGAGATGTGGTTTGGATCCCTAAGTAGAGAAGATCCCCTGCAGGAGGGCACAGCAGCCCACTTCAGGATTCTTGTCTGGAGAATCCCGTGGACAGAGGGGCCTGGCGGGCTACAATCTGTAGGGTCGCACAGACATGACTGAAGCAACTTGGCACCCATGCACATCTGCAGTTCAGGTCACAGGTATATTCCTTTTTCATGCAGTGCATGGACAGAGGCATCGCGTTAACTCAGGCACGCTACTTGGAGAAAGAAGAAAAGTACCTCCCTCCTCCGAGGTTAGTAGACTTTAAAATATGACCTGAGGCATCATTTTGTTTACTACTACAAGCTCTTTTGAAATATATTATGTTTTGAAATTTTCTGAAAGATTATCACCGGATAAGGAAGAGTATGTATCATTAAAAAACAGTGTATCACCTGTTGTTCTTAAACTAGATGTTTTCCTATTTTAACTGAAAATCCCTCAGAACCCTAGTGAATGAAACATCTGTGATCCCAAGATGGAACTGGGACAGCCCAGGTTCCCATCGGCGACAACCTGCCGCCATGCTGTGGCAGCTGTTTCTGCCACGAGGACAGTCCTGCAGGGAAGGGCACAGTCTGGTTGGTGGTTTCATCTCACCTCTGGCCCAAGCACTGTGTGTGATACTTAATCTGACAAACATTTATTAAACTCCCAAGGAACAACAAAGCATCAGTGGGGAACATCGAGAGGTTTGAGCAGCCCTCCATGGAGAGGACCTTGACTCATGATTTAAAATCAGTCTTCATTGAATGGATAGGGAGATGGGAGGGAGGTTCAGGATGGGGAACACATGTACACCCATGGCTGATTCATGTCAGTGTATGGCAAAATCACTACAATATTGTGAAGTAATTAGCCTCCAATTAAAATTAATTAATTTTAAAAAATAAATAAAATCAGTGTTCATTGAACAAAACATCCTTATTCTGCCCTTAAGTCTTTACAGTGTAGTCCAAGGAGGTTGGACAGAATATTGAGTGTTCGAGGTTATGACACAGGTCACAGAGGAGGAGGCTGTGGTTAATTCTAGCCTGGGAGGGACTCAGGATTCTAAGAGCAGGTGATGCTTAAGTCAAACCAGGAAAATTGAGTGTATCAGACAAGCTGAGGTGCGCATGAGGCCTTCCAGCAGGGAATGCAGGGTTATGGAGAGCTACAGGTGCATCAGGGGAGCCCACAGCACAGGTTTGAGAGGAACCATGGAGAGGGAGCCTGGGGGAGGCTGGGAAAGACCCAGAAGAGCACATTCGGAGTCAGAGCACCGTGCAGACGTGGAGCACAGGCTGGATTGTGGAAAACTGTTCCGGCAGCAAATGGAAAGCACCCTGAAAATCCCACTCTCTCTGTTCCAATGACACCATCCCGAGTTGTGAGCCTGTGTTTCATGAGATCAGGGGCCACCCTAATTTTGTGCCCTCAGGACTCCAGGCCCAGCCCACCTCAGCACATATGTGTCCAATGGCTGATGCAGACATTTGCAGAGCAGAGTAAGAGGCACAGGGGTAGCATTGAGCTGTCAGGCTGATGTTTCTTATCTTTAGTTTCTTGAAAACTTGAAAACATTTGCCTTGCATCAAAATATTGTAGAACTCTCTATGACTTACTGAATAAAAATTGTGAACAACCGCAGACTCATTAATTTGAGAAATGTTGACTTCCTGCTTTGAACCTGCAGTGGTAGAGTCTCCTGTCGGCCCTAGCAGAGCCCCACTGCAAGGCTGCCTTGACAGATCACTGGCAGTCCAGGAGCAGCAGCCGCTCCTGTAAGTGGCAGTCAGCACTTGTCGTTTGCAGGACACGGGGTCCCTGCAACAGCTGCTCAGCCCGGCCGCCGCAGGGAGAAAGTGGCTGTGGACAGCAGGCCGTGTTCCAGTAGGGGAGCTTTATGCGCAAAAACAGATGGCCGCTGACCCTTTGTGTAGACTCTGATTTGACTGTCTTTTGTGTCCTTTATGGTTTCTCAGCATTAGGGTTGTGGTCACAGTGGAACAAACGGAAGAGGAGCTGGAGAAAGCGGCGTCCACGATCAGCGAAGTGGCCCAGACTGTGCTGCTTTAGTCTGGGGCCTGGTGTCCACTCAACACGCAACACTCAGGCCTCAGAATCCTGGCCGAGCGAGCAGAGGGTGCCTTGCAGTTACCCGATAAGGTGTCTCTAGACGGTGTGGATGTCAACGTGTTGTGTGACTACGAGATGGATGCTGGTGACTCTTTAAGGGAAAACATCCAAAAACCCAAAAATCTAATTTTTTTTTAAAGGAAAAACTAATGATAGCATCTAACTGATACTTAAATTGTGTTATTTAGTACTATTTGTCTAAGTAGTTAGACAAAATTGTCTACACCGGTAAAGCTTAGAGGCACTTCAGCATATGTGATACAAAATGTACTGAAGAGCTAATCCAACCACATTTTTTTCAGTCTTTGTCATGTGAAGCTCAGTGGTGGCTAATATATAAAGGAACACTTTTGTGTGATTATTATAAACTTTTCATTATAATATATTTGAATCCAAGAATTTTTATATACACTAAATGCTGATGTTGCACCATTTCTAACATTGAATCTTAGCATCCCTAACCAGAGAACAGTCATTGTACTTCCTAAGTGAGCAATAATTTAAATCAAATACTATTTTATTTTAGTATAATTGACCTCTATATTTATTCTGTGTTGACTTCTAATCTGTTTTCTGAAGAGAGTTACTCTGATCATCCCAAAATAGAAATCATGTCCTTGATATTTTAGAATATCTTGAATGTATTCTTTTTTGTATAGTGGGTTTGCCTAGGGACATATAACCATGGGCTTTTTCTAAGCTAAAGAAAATGAGACCTTTATTTCTTTTCAGCTTAATGAATCCAGATATCTAAAAAAGATGTGAAAGCACTGAAAATAAAATCTTTAATCCGTGCTTTAGCTATCTGTTTTTTTCTTTGGCAGACCAAGTTGGGTGATATAAATGTTTGTGATATGTGCCACAAGATAGTGCATAGATATTACATTATTATTCCATCTCTTGTTAAAGGGAAAGGAATAAAATTATATTGAAAATATCATTTTTATAGTATATGTTCATATTAACAAATGGTCCTCAACATCTTTCTAGATAACATATATTTTTTAATGTTTAGTTTCTATTTTGCTTGAGGTATTTTGTACATATATGCCTTGTGATTGCTGCTGCTTTAAAAGATAACAGTACTCTTGGGGATGAATCTGTTCTGTTTTGTTTTTTAATTAAATAAACCTATATTCCTGATAATCAGTCTATTTGCATGTGTAATATATTCAACAGAATGGTCTCTTAATTTTAAATTCTGCAGACCTAGAGTGGTAGTCTGTGTGTGTGAATGTGTATGTGTGTTATGGGGGTGTTTTAATTCCTTAATGCCTTTCTTAAATATATAGTATCAGAAATTTCATTGGTTCATACTGATTTAAGCCTTGGCCCCTTATGACTACAAAAATACAAGACCCGTTCTTTTTATAAGCAGGTTAAGATTGTAACCTTTCAAAGTCAAGATGATTGCAATATCTAGATTTTTACTGCTTCTTTAAAAAAATGATTGGAAGTTCCTGGGAAAAAATGATGGAGCAGCACATATTATTTAATTTCAATCCTTGAAACACATCAACATGAACCAAAAACAAAGTCTAAATTAAAGCTGTAGAGTGACCACAATCCAGTAATACACACCAAAAAAAATATCTATTAGAAACAAAAAAATTGTATAAAACAAGTGAAAAAGAAACAATATCTCAAATCTAAAGCAGGATGCAAATTGCTGTTTTAGAGACAGTGAGGGGGTTCTGAAATGCTCTGTCAGTGGTCCTCTGTTTAGAAAGGCAGTGAGTAGGTGAGCAGCATGGAAAGCTTTTGGAGCAGATTCCCACTCAGCGCTTACCCCCAGGGGAGGAAGAAGCCACACACAACTACACCCTTTTTGTTGTCTATAGGAGACTCCAGCTCATGAAAAGTGGGACTTTTAGTCAGGTTAGGAAAAATGGACCATAGGCCTAAATATAAGGATAAAACTACAAAACTTCTAAGAGAAAGCACAGAAGGGAATCTTTCAAATCTTTGGTTAGACAAACATAGATATAATACCAAAAGTATAAGCCATGAAAGAAAAAGATAGGTAAATTAAGCTTCATTAATTTTTTTGTTTAATTTGCTCTTCAGAAGACAACTTGAAAGACTTTAAGATAAGCCACAGACTGTGAGAAAATATTTGCCAATCATATAAAAGAAAATATATGTATCCATAAAGAATGTAAAGAGCACAACTCCAAAATAAGAAATGAAAAAGTATTTTAGAATGGTGAAAGACTAGACATTTCACCAAGAGACACATTCAAATATCTGAACTCATGAAAACATTTGGTCTGATTCGTCATCAGAGGAATGCAAATTACAACTACGAGATACCTTTACACGCTCACTAGAATGACTATAATAAAAAAGATAATACAGATGTCAGCAAGATATGGAAAAATTGGAAACCCCACACATAGCTGGTGGAAAGGTAAAATGGCACAACATTTTTGGAAAACAATTTGGCGGCTTCTTCAATTTAACATAAACTTGGCATGCGTGTGTGCACACTCAGTCACTTCGGTCATGTCCAACTCTTTGTGACCCTATGAACTGTAGCCTGCCAGGTTCCTGTGTTCATTCATTTTCCAGGCAAGAATACTGGATGGGTAGCCGTTCCCTCCTCCAGGGGATCTTCCCAACCCAGGGATCAAACCTGCATCTCTTACATCTTCTGCATTGGCAGGCAGGTTTTTGTTTTTTTTTTTTACCACTGGCACCACCTGGGAAGCGCTATTCATAATGGCCATAAATCAATCCAAATGTCTGCCAGCTGATTGAATAAACAGAAAGCGGTATATTCATAAAATGGAAAACAAGTTAGCATTAAAAAGTCTCAAAGTTTTTTTGATAAGTGAAAAAAACAGATGGCAGCCATGAAATTATGTAATTCTATGCATATTCAATGTCCAGAGAAAGCTGATATAAAAAGTGGTTAGTGGTTGTCTGCAAGTGGGGGTGAGGTTGAGACTGACTGATGACTTATCAGTACAGGGGACCTTTGCAGGAGATGTTCTAAGATAGGATTGTGGTGATGGTTGCACATCTCTGAATATACTAGAAACTATTTGCTCAGCGTTCAAATGTTCTTTCAATGAATTTGTGGGTGAGAAAGTGGTCTCCCTGTCCTATTCCTCCGCCATCTTAGCTCCCTCAGCTATACTAGAAACTATTGAATCGAGATCAAACTAGTCAATCCTAAAGTAAATCAATCCCGAATATTCATAGGAAGGACTGTTGCTGAAGCTCCAATACTCTGGCCACCCGATGCAAAGCCAACTCATTGGAAAAGACCCTGATGCTGGGAAAGGTTGAGGGCAGGAGAAGTAGGCGACAGAGGATGAGATGGTTGGATGGCATCACTGACTGAAGGGGCATGAGTTTGAGCAAACTTCAGGAGTTGGTGAACGACAGGGAAGCCTGGCGTTCTGCAGTCCATGGGGTCACGAGTCGGATACAACCTAGTGACTGAACAACAGCAATACTGAATCAAGTACAAATCTGTGATAATGAACATAATTACTAATCAATTGACTCTTCCAGTCATTTCAGCAAATGTGTTCTTATCTGTGTTGTCCCTGATGAACATTTGGAAGTCCACGATGTGGATGGGGTGGCAGGACTCAGCACTAGAGGACAGTATGCCAAAATAGAACAGGAGGCAGCCCAAGGCTAATTTGAAAGCAGAACATGGTCTGGTCCTAGCTTATCTGCTCATTAGCCATGAGTCCTTGGACAGGACCCTACTCCTCACTGAACAAGTTCTTTATGAAATAAAGAGTTGGGCTGACGGACTATATTTGAATTATCTTAAATCCTCCTGCTGTCACAGTGCTTCCCAAGCCAAGTTGGAAAATTCTCTTTGGCTCCAGAGAGACCTCCGTCACAGAAAGAACTACCTGTGCACACCTTTCCCACAGGGAATGTGACTCACCAATCAGTATACTATTTTGATGAAAACACACAAGTCAGAAAGGTTCAAAGATTGGGTTCCAGTCCCCTGATTGTTGCTACTTACCCTCCGGGTGATTCTGTTTCCCCAAGCCCCAAGCCATCTCTTCCCTGCTTAATGGCATCCACGAATTTCCCTGGAGACACTCCCCATGCTATGCATCACCTCAGGCCCCTTTTTCCTCTCAAATTTATTCCACAAATTGCAACATCTGAGGAGGCCGCCAAGGGTTCCATGCAGAGTGCAGAGGATGCCCCAGAGTCTGGACACCTAGAAGGACCAGCATCACCACCAGCCATCATGTGAACCCGGACAGTGACTTAAACTGACTGTGCGTTTCTCCATCTGTAAAATGAGAGTAATTGTGCCGCAGCCCATAGAACCATTGTGAGAATTAGGTAAGACGATCCATGCAAATACTTTAAATTGCACTTCATGTGTACTGAGTACAAAATATATGTTGTTATTAATGATAATAATTGAGACAAGTTGGCAGAAAGTTTTGCCTATCTTCCCTCTTACGTCGTCCAGTAGGAAGTCATTCCAGAAGGACTTGGGACTCACATAACCTCCAGGGCTGTGATTTTTTTTTTCCTGCAACTGGTTTACAGAAGCCACTCCAAATATTGGAGATTTCCAAGAAAAGTATTTCTGCCGCCTTAATTCACATGCATGGCTTAGAACCAGCTTCCTACATGTTCTGTTGAGAATCCAGATCTGGCAGTCAGTTGCAGGCCCACCCCTCATCTCCCACACTGGGACTCAGTTATTTTGAACTGAGTGCCCCACCCATCCTGGCGACTAGAGCTGGAGAGAGACCCTCTGTTCAAATTCCCAGTGTGTTTCTTCTGTCATTGATGGCACTGAAAATGAAAGGCGGATTAAGTATGGTATGTTGTTTGGTTTCCCAGCTCCTTCCAGTTAAGAAAGACTTGTATTTGCATTTCAGCCCTTCCTCAGCTCACAAGCTCAGAACTTGTAACTGAGATCTGGAGGCCAGGCCTCCCAA